TACATTGTCAAATTATAAAAGGACAACAGCCAACACAACAACAGCCAAAGGTGTGAACGAATCAAAATTATATCTATTTTTTGTCAGATTGTAAAAAAAAAAAACTATAGTATATTTTCGGTGTGCTGCAGAATTTTAGTAATTAGTTTATTTATGTGTGCCATGAGGTGAAAGAGGTTGAAAATCGCTGCTCTGGCTTACTATTGTAAATTTTTTGTATGTATACATTAAAAGTTTTGGACACTTAATCACTTTAAATCTAAAAATGATTTAGTGGATATTTAAACTGAAGTCCAGACTGTCTACCATTCATAATTTCAGCAGAGTCTTAAAACGGAACCATGAGGCATTAACAAAAAAACAAAAAAAAACCAAAAAAAACCCCAACAAAACAAACTAAAAACAGAAGGAGAGAAATATAATTAATCCCCTGTACCTTCAGAGATCTTGATAGTGATGCCTGGGGGAGGGGGAGGTGAAGGGGAGCGCTAGAAAAAAATATCAGGTTTCCCAGGGCATGTCTTCAGCCACTTACGTCTGATAGAGTGGATTGCTATTTCATAATTCACTGAAGGCCATGCGTATGTATCTGTGTTATGTGTGTCAAGGTGTCACTATGGCCCTCCACAGTTTTTTGACCTCCGTTTTCCAATGATGCGAGTAGGGAAGGTGCACCTCTGTTAGGGAAGTTTTCAAATTGATTTTTCAATATGTATACAAAAACTAGTTTCTAGAATGTGTATAATTCTCTTGTGCTTAATAAGTATGGATATAACAAAATAGGTACTGTAATCTTTTAGCAATTTTTGCTGACAGTCATAGTGTCATATATTACAGTATATGTGTGTGTGTATATATACTTATATATATTTTAAATTGTTTGTATTAATTTTAGAGAGGAAGGGAGTGAGATACAGAGATGGAAACATCGATGAGAGAGAAACATCGATCTGCTGCCCCCGCACCTGGCCCCTACTGGGGATCGAGCCCTCAGTCCAGGCATGTGCCCTGACCAGGGATCGATCCCGTGACTTCTTGGTCCATAGGTCAACGCTCAACCACTAAGCCACACTGGTGGGGCTAGAGTATATTTTTATCCAATTTGAGATGCATACAATTACTAACCCATATTCAAATGATCACAAGTTCTTCAATTGAATAAAATCCATGCTAATTTATTAGGTAAGTCTCAAAAGAAATAAAGCCACCCCTTCACTGTGAAACTGGAAACCTATGGGAGTTCTCATGATAGCACTGGGAAAATTACAAGTAAAACAGTCATGGACACACTTCCCCCGGATTGTCGGACTGTCCTGTGTGCCATATCCTGACCCACAGGAAAGTTCTGGTTGAAACAGTACTTTTCTTGGGCAGTAACAGTAATGACCTGGGTGTACTACCCACCCTGCCGATCTTAACACTCTTACTTTGGAGCCTGACGTTGGAAATGATAAGCATGTGAGCGTAAGAAATGGCTGCAGTCTGCCCTGCATTATTGCCTAATCGGATTCTAAAAGCAGCAGCA